GACCTCGCTCGCCTGCTTCACATTAATGGAAATGGTGCCCTTCCTTCATGACGGGATGAGAGGGGAGGGCAGGCCAAGAAGCTGGGGGAAGGCAGAGACTGTTCTACCCTCCCCATGCCTCAGTGCGGACAGCACCAACGGGCCGAGGGAGCTGAGGGGGCCAGGACTGAACGGTCTCCTGATCTCTGCAGCGTCCTTGCACCAGGATGCAAGCCCTCCCTGACACCTCTTCCGTTTTCTCCCCAGGTTCTCAGCCTTTTCTGTTCACACCAGGGAGAAGGCAGGGATTCCAGGAACAGTCAGGCAGAGCAGCTGCCAGGCAGCCTGCCTTGCTTTGGGGCTGCAAGCTGCTTTGCGAGACAGGAGAACAGGGCCAGTTTCCAAGTGGGACCACAGCAGCCGGGCTGCATGCTCCGCAGGCCTCCAGGGCCAGTGTCTCTCGCTGAAATCCTTAACGCTCCCTGCCCTCTGAAGCTCAGGGAATGCCTCACCTCGGTGTGGGACAGCGCTCTCAACGCTGGCGTGAGGACGCAGGTAGGGTAAAGCGAGCTGTGTGGCAGAGCAGAGTGGAGAAGCTGAGCTGGGAGCACTGGAGCAAACAGCCCCTCTTCCAACCAGGAGCCTGTGGATCCCTCACGTCCACGCCCGGCAGCACGACCTCGGGGCCTGTGCTGGAGTCAGCCCCGCGCCCCTCGAGTCGGGCCCAGCTCCTCGGGCTAGGCAGGAAATCCCCATGGCCAAGCCCAGGGAAAGGCTCCCAAAGGCCCCGGTGCCCGCTTCCTGTGGGAGGGGCATTCCCCTTCACTCACCCTTGGCTTTCAGGTATAGCGGTATTGATGTGGCCGTGTCCAATGTACAGGTGTATATGCCATCATCTTTAGTGCCCTGGTAGTTTGCTATCACCAACTGACTTTGTTTGTTTTCAGGGTCTGGTAGATCTTTGCCATCCTTCTTCCACCTTATAGTAGCGTCATCGCTGCAGATGAGAGTCACCATGGTGTGAGAGATCGTCACGTCGATCTCTCTTTCTGTGGGAAGCAAGAACAACATTAGCAGAGAGGCTTTCTGGTTTGGAGGAAGAATGTGAGCATTGATCCTATGGATAACTGCACCAGGAACGGAGGGAAAACAAGGCATCAACTGCATAGCCGTTGGCCTCAGTGACACACTTCAAATGTGAGCTATTTGGGCAGGGACTGCTTCCTTTTGCATATATATGCTGAGGTAGCCCAGTGGTTACTTGAGTGTGGCCTTGGATGCTACCATAGTATTAATTTTAAATAGCAACGGCTATTAATAATGGCACTTCCACTGGCCCCAAGCTCAGCGAGAAGCACCTCTTGTGGATCTGGAGTTTTAAACTGTCAGATGTTCTCTGTGATGCGTCCTCTGTGGACACATGCACACACAAGGCTGTTCGGCACCTGATAAGCAGATGCACATTGCTTCTAAGGGTTCTAGGTCAGGCCCAGCCTCCCGCTTGCCGGCTCCCTCTCGCCAAGCAGCTAGAAACAGCAGGGTCAATCTTAGTTTTACAATGTTACTCTAGGACTGAATAGTTAAAAGCATTGCTGGTAAAAGCAACTTACGGTTCTGTGCTGTGGTGCCAGCTGTAAAAGAACACAAGAAAACCATTAGTAAATCCATGCGCTGCACCCTGGAGATCCTGCCTACACACAGCGAGTCCTTGCAGGGCTCCTTTGGTCAAAATGTCCTTTCTGTTGTGTTTAGCAACCTGCTTCCAGGGACAAAATGCACAACAGGAACCCACAGGAATAACCTAGTACCTGCTCAGGTGTCTGCCACATATGTATGTAACCCTGGTGCTGTAAACACATACTATTCCCCCGCCCAGCCTTGCAAACAGGATGGCAGTGGAGGCCAGAAAAGGTGGCAGAAGCAAGAAACACATTTTGGTGCCAGAGGAGCCATTCTGAAGGTGGGGCAGTGGCTCAAACCATCCTACTGAAGTTACCTGTGCTGCCCTCCAATCTCAGATTTTATAATAAAACTGCTGGTTACTGTCAGCCTTCTCTTTCCCATATTGTCACTCGGGTTCTACCCTGATCGCCTTCTCCCACAAATCAGTGTCAAAATCCCACCATGGAACTTTTTATTCCTCTGTGCACCGGTCTGATCTCTGCAAGGTACCAATCCTATGTAGATGCCACTAGAAATTACTACTGACGCTTGATTTTAGCTGATTTTTCAAGTTAGTGGAAACAGTAACAGTTAACTGATGCAGACTATTTCCAGTCCTTTAAATAATCATTCTGTTGAAATGCTTCTCTCCTTGGGTCTGGTCTTGACTAGGAAGACATCTGCAGTCAGCATATTTGTACTCTACTGCTGTAGTTAGATGCATCCAAAATCCCTAACAAGATAAGAGATTAGACAGCCAATGGTATTGGGAACTAAACTTGTGTTTCTCTTTGGGTGCCATTTTCACAGCATGACGACCAGTCCAAACTGGAGAAGTGAAATGGCGGCGTTCGGAGTCCACTTTACATAGAAATGCTTTGGCAAGTGTAAATGCACCAACATGCCTGCTGCGCTGTGCTGAGCAGAGACCAATTGTGGAGAACCAGCGGTTTCACCCTGTTGGGAGGGGTTTGTTCTCTGCAGGTCTAGGGCCATAGTGTTAAAAATAACATGGCTGAACTCTGCAAAATAGTTTCTATGCATCATTCAGGTTGGGAAATGTGCAACTGTGTCAAATTCCCTGGAGCTGCAGTACCAGGGTGGCTCGACTGAGCTTGCCAGTTTGTTAGGAGGGATGCCGGCCAACAGAAAGGGGCAAACATAAATGCAAAAATGGCCTGTTTAAGTGTTCAGCTCCTTCTGTGTCTCTTCACAGGCAGTATTCAATTTACTGAGGGAGCCACTCTCTTGGAGGCCACAGACAAGAAACCCCAGGGGCTAGAGGAGAAGGTGATCAGCTGATTTATTTTCTTCAGAGGAATTATTTTTAGAGAAATAAAATACATGCAGGTGCTCTAGCAAAAATCAGTTGCAGCCTAGTGAAGCTCAATTTCCTTTAATGCTCTGAAAGGAGAGCGAGAGGTGGCTCCCATGTCTGGGTAGGGTGGCTGCAGAATTCATTTCCATAACTGATTTAGCAGTAGTATCTACACCTGCTCTGCCTTTCCTCTGACTCTTTCCCTTTGAGCTTTACAAACACCAGCTGCTCATCTCAACATTAAAGAGAAGCCACTCTTCCTGTCTTCCCATGGTGAATCTGAGCTACAGAGGAAGAGTGACTTGCCCAAGAGCACGCAGGGGTTTAATGGCAGAGCCAAGAACAGGAGGCAGGAGTCCTAGCTCCCCTGAACTGTGCTGCTGCCTCGCCCGTACCTTTTCCCATCTCTGCGGACTTGTGTCGAAGACTGCAGTGAATTTTGAATAAGCAGAAACAATCTTCTCAACCAGTGATGTTATATTAAAGACTGAAGTAAGTCGCTGCTGATCCTTCGTTTTCGACTAACTGACTGCCCCATCTTGCCCGAGCCAGAAGCAACCTTTTTCTGCCATAAGCCATTGTACACATCTGTCAGGAGACCTGTGGGGACCTGCCCTGCCTCTGCACTGCACACGCATGGACTCCCTTTGGCTGAGCTCATGAGGATCACCCTTGCACTCTGCCAACTGTACTCACCCACACAGAGCAAGACCCCCAGTGCAGGCAGGAAAAGCCCCAACTTCATCCGTGCATTCCCTGTTCTCCCCATGCTCTCGCCTGTCCCGTCCAGTCAGACTGGCATTGCCCGGTTCCGTTCTGAAGAAAGAAAGGGCGCCGTTTATGAGAAACGGGTCCAGAAGCATTTCTCAGAACTGATGACAGTCGCTGAGGCAGTGCAGAGAGGACTTACCGTTTCCAGCGCACTGCACGAGCAGCTTGGGGAGACTGAACGTAAAACAAGCCTGTGCCAGGAAGTGCGGAGGCTCGAAGCGTCTGCACATCTGAACGTCACTGGAAGCAAGAGGCAGCCATTTGCCCTTCGCTCCATCCGCGTGACTGTCCCAGGACAGGGAGCAGGGGCAGAGGGGACCGCAGCTGACTTGCTGACCACACTTTCCACAAACACATCCACAGTTCTGGATGAGTTAGTAGTTTTCAAGTTCAGCATGTTACAATCAAGTTAGCAAAGTGATGACAACAAACATAATGACTGAAAATGCCGCAAGAGCCGGGACCAGCCACACAGCAGCAACTTGTGCAACCAGCCTGAGCTCCACAGCAAGGTCCTTGGGGCGAGGCTGCCTCCTGCAAAAGAGGTGGGAAGCCTAGGACCTACCTGAACAGGGCGATACCTGGAGTCAGGCCCCTTGATGCTGCTGTAACACAGATCGGCAATAGCCATGATGGTCGTACAAAGGTCTGAAGTTCATGTGCTGCAGGGATGAGTGGGGTAGAAAATCTGAAAAAGGTGGAGAGAAAACTAAGCAGCGGTGATCTGGCTGACACACTTACAACCGAGAATAACAACAGGACTGAATTAAACAAACCAGGAGTCGACTCGCTCACTGGGGCTGGGCTCGAATGCTGGTGTTACACAATGGGAAGCTCCCTGCTACCAGGACTGCCAGCGTGAGCATGTTTTGGGGCACTGCTCCCTCAGGAGCCACCTGGCAGATACTAGCCTGCTTCTCATGGGACCCCATGGGCCCGTGGACAAGTAGACCAGCTTCATTCGCCCAGATGTCTGCCTCTCTGCTTTCTCCCACGATGCTCCCTATGGGGTGACATCCTTCCCCACCCTTCCACTTTGCACAAACTCCCACTGGCAGTGCCAGGGAAGAGGAGGAACCTGAAAGCAGCTTACACATGTATGCAACTGTCCCCACAGCCAGATGTGTGGCGCTTGCTTCTCAGCAGGGCCTGGGCCCTTTTCTCCGACTGGGAAGCACCCACCCAACCCCACGGCCAGAAGTAAGTGAAAAAGTAAGTAGATAGCAATGTGCCAAGCCACGTGACAACCGACCGGGGAAGGGGCAGTGTGTCCCGAGCCATTCTAGGCTCTGGTTCACCCACTTTCCACTTGATACCACGTGCACAGGAGTACATCATGTCCACGGCAGCAGACAGCTCAGAGCAAGCTGTTACTCTGGGCTCTAGTGGAGAACTAGCAAATAACTAGGAAGCAGCTATGTGGTCCTTGCCCTTGCAGTCACCTCTGCTCGTGCCAGCCCCGTTCCACTGCAGCCAGGTCCAGGACAAACATGGGAACCTCCGTGACTCTGCTCCCGACCCAGCAGAGGCAGGGACTACATGCTGGCACTTCCCAAAGCATGTGCCATGGACCCAGTAGTGATGAAAGGATTGCTGATGGGCAAGCTTGCAGGTAGGGGGAACTCTGCACGCACGTGACAGCATATACACGTGTTGGGAACCTGAATTTGCCACAAAATGGGTCTTCCCAATTCTGTGCCTCACATGTATGCACCCGCTAATCTGCAAGTGGCAGGGTATGTGGGGAGGCCAAGGATGCTCAGACAACCCCTTCCCTTGCTATGACTGCCGGCGGCCCTGGCTTATACGAATCTGCCCGGCAACGCTGCGTCCCTACAGAAGTCAAGTTGTCTGTGGGAGCCACGTGAGCAAAGCTGGCCTGGGGGGGCTGCCATTCCGGGGAGGGGGGGGGTTCTCTCCTGCTGTGGGGTGAGGGCACCGCCTCTACCGCCCTGCAGGAGGGGAAGGCTGGAGGAGCCCACTGACATCTTTCATCCACGGCAATCAAAGGGACACGCTGGGTTTTAACATTAGCACAGAAGTGGCGTGATGCCGCTAGAGGGGGCCGTTCCCCACTCAGCAGCACTCTGGCCTGCACAGCAGGCACGTTTGCACACGGGAGAGATGCCATTCCTAGGCCTGTTCCCTGATTGGGGCCATTGCTGCAGCTCCTGCAAGGAGACGGGCTGGGGCTGGGGCTGGGGCTGGGGCGATCGCTGCCTGGCAGTGACGTGGCCCTGCCAAGTTGTTAGGCCTACGTTTGTAGAAGCAGGTGCTGATCCTGGGCGCTCAGTGTGCGACCCCAGCACCCGGCTGTCAGAGGCACTGAGTGCCTGCACTCATTTCAGAGGGCTCAGCACCTGTGACAGTCAGATAGGATCTCACACCAGCAGCGGCTTGTACACATGGGCAGTGCTACATGAGTGCCGAGGGTTAAGGAATGACCAGCTCAATGGGACTCGGGCACACAGGGGAAGCGGCTTTGCCAGGAGACAGAAGAGAAGGTCCCAGGTAACGTGGGGCCCCTGCAGGACACGCTAGGAAATTTGGTCGTCACACCAGATGACCAAGCTAACCTATTTAACGACTTCTTTGCCTCCATTTTCCTGAGCAGGGACCGGAACAGTCACCCCCCCACCCCCCCGGCCCCCCTCAGGGCCCAGGGGAGGCGCACCCAGGCCAAGGGTTAGTGAGGATCTAGTCAGGGAACGTCTGGAGGGA